TCGAGTGGAGGAATCCTTCTGGCTCCACGAGGGTTATCCTTGTTCCCAGTAACAGCGGCCATCCACCTTTCCAGAGTGGCATCGTCGACTGCTTCTGGATTGATCTGAGTCTCATCTTCAGTCCCGCGGTACAACCACATGCAATGGCTCCGGAACTGAAGAGGCTGGATACGACGCCTAAGAAACACCTCCAGGAGATCCATACCCGTCACTCCCTCCCGAACCAACTGAACTACGCGCTCCATCAACATCTTCACGTCAGCTTTCTCCTCCGGAATCACCTTCAGAGAGGAGGGCTTGTTCACTCGGTCCATGGTGAACTTAGGGAGTCCACTCGACTTCCCCGGCGTCGGCTGATCCTGGCAGTAGAACCAGGTCGACTGCCAGCCTCTGACCGACTCGGGAAATGTCATGACTGGGAAGGTACTCTTGTTCCTCACCTGGATCCCCAGACCTCCACACATTTGGATAACTTGGGTTCTTTCGTCGCCTGGGCTCGCCTTCTTCACGGCCTGAGAGCGACACGTGAATATATGCTTGAACAATCCCCAATGCGGTCGACAACCCAGAAAATTCTCACACATGGACACAAACGCGGCGAGATAGGCGATGGAGTTCGGGGTGAAGTGGTGGAGTTGCGCTCCAAAGAAGTTCAAGAAACCACGAAAGAAAACGCTCGGTGGCAAAGAAAATCCGCGGTCGACATGGGTGGCCAGAAGCACGCACTCACCCTCTTCCCGCTGGGGCTGCCACTCTTTCCCCGGAAGCCTTGCGGCTCCGTGAGGGATCAGCCCGTCGTTGGCCATATCGAGGAGATCCGCCTCCGTGATGGTCGACCGGATCCAGTCTCCCTGGACCCAGCCTTTCGGCAGGAGAGATCTAGACGAAGACCCTCCGCGACTGGTGGATCTCCCCTTCGCCTTCTCCGTCGCCGACGCCTTCTTCGTGCGTTCCAGCGCCGCCGTCTTATCCTTGACCATGGCTGCCGGCGAGACGCGCGAAGAGAAGTTGTGCGGAGGCGAGAGCGAGCGCGTTGGGCGGAGACGAAGGAAGCAGAGAGAGAATGCTGAGGCACTGTTCAAAAAACCCTCGCCGGGCGCATTTATAAGATCCTTTCCGAGTGGATGACAGGTGGGCCCGGTCGATCTAATTATATCCCGAAACAATTGCGCGGACGTGATACGTGGCGAAAAAAGCGGCGCGGGGATCGAGGCGTCTATGCCCTATCCCATCCGAGCGCCGCGGTCCGCCCCGCTTCGCGCGCTTCCCCAAATTCCGTACCCCGCAGAATCTGCGAACGGCAGATCGGTCTGTCGAACGCGGGATTTCCTGTGATCCGTCACTCGGAAATCGGCGAAGTCCAAAAGATCACTCGACGAAAGAAAAGAATGGATCGAGTCGACTGAAGAAAAGTTGCTCACTATCAACAAAGAGATTTTTTTGGTTCAAAATAACGCACGACCAGTGTGCGAAGGCTAATCGGAAACAACATCAACTCCTTCATCACTCAAGCCTCAATCCATTCGGGGGCTAATGATGGAGTCATGTACCTAGGGTAGGGTCATAGACCTGATCTAAGTACCCTGCCCAAGGACACCCTTAGAAGAGATCACCTTCCAGTCGACCTACGAGGAACTCACTCGACTGATTTGAAGGACTCGACCACGAAGACTCACTCGACCACCAGAAGGTCAAGAAGCACTCTGCACTGCAACGGTCTGTAATTAAGTAGACTTTATAATAGTTAAGACACTTTATGTGGGGCGTTACCAGTAATGCCCCGGACTTAATGTACCTTAAACCCTTCATTACGTGGGTTGGTTGGGGTCCTGGCGCACTCTATATAAGCCACCCCCCTCCACAGGCAGAAGGGTTCGCACCCCTGTAACTCATATACCCATAATCCACTCGACCGCCTCCGGCTCCGAGACGTAGGGCTTTTACTTCCTCCGAGAAGGGCCTGAACTCGTACATCTCTTGTGTTTACAACCTCTCCATAGCTAGGACCTTGCCTCTCTATACCTACCCCCACTCTACTGTCAGACTTAGAACCACGACAGCACCCCTCAAACCTAGCCCAAATCTAAGAAGGGTATTGGGAGATCGGGCCACATCCATCATGTCGGACCTCGACCCCCGGATTTCATTTTTTACCCTTTTAATTTCCCAGTACTGACAGCTGGGGCCCTTGTGTCATAGAGGCGGATAAATAAAATGCCTTCCAAAGCATAGACATGGGCTTTTTATGAGAAATAAAAATATTCAAGGGGGTTTAAAGAAAAACAGGCCACACGCGTTCCTCTCTGCCTTCCCGTCGCTGACGGCGGGCCCCATGCTAGGCTGGCACGCCATGTCATCGTTGTTTTCGTATCAAACGTGATTTGCACCGTATTTGCACGCCCAAGCCAAGTTATTGCACCAGTCAATGTATGCCACAAGTTCTAGCACTAAAGTGACCGTTTGCGCCAAGTTCTAGCACCAGCGGTGTAATTAATTTATTTTTTTATTGTAGTATAAAAAGAGGGAAAAAGACCTCCACCTCTACATCAACCACCTTAATCCACCGACTCAAAATTCATACCCCTCAAACTGATCGGATGGACGGCTCTGTTAGTGTCCGTCACAAAACCGTGACAGCCGGCCTCCACAAACCAGTCGCGGACGTACGGATCGGCACCCCTCAAACCTACCCCAAATCTAAGAAGGGTATTGGGAGATCGGGACGCATCCATCATGTCGGACCTCGACCCCTGGATTTCATTTTTTACCCTTTTAATTTCCAAGTACTGACAGCTGGGGCCCTTGTGTCATAGAGGCGGATAAATAAAATGCCTTCCAAAGCATAGACATGGGCTTTTATGAGAAATAAAAATATTCAAGGGGGTTTAAAGAAAAACAGGCCACACGCGTTCCTCTCTGCTTTCCCGTCGCTGACGGCGGGCCCCATGCTAGGCTGGCACGCCATGTCATCGTTGTTTTTGTATCAAACGTGATTTGCACCGTATTTGCACGCCCAAGCCAAGTTATTGCACCAGTCAATGTATGCCACAAGTTCTAGCACTAAAGTGACCGTTTGCGCCAAGTTCTAGCACCAGCGGTGTAATTGATTTATTTTTTATTGTAGTATAAAAAGAGGAAAAAAGACCTCCACCTCTGCATCAACCACCTTAATCCACCGACTCAACATCCATTCCCCTCAAACTGATCGGATGGACGGCTCTGTCAGTGTACGTCACAAAACCGCGACAGCCGGCCTCCACAAACCAGCCGCGGACGTACGGATCGGCACCCCTCAAACCTAGCCCAAATCTAAGAAGGGTATTGGGAGATCGGGCTGCATCCATCATGTCGGACCGGCCTACCCTGACCCACCTCGCCCCCACATATATCCCCACTCCAGACGAACTCTAGACTGCAATCAAAGCTCACTCCACTCCACTTCTCTTCGTCTTCTCCTTTCACCGTCCCCTTCCCTTCCGATCAATGGCAAGCGACGACAGCAACACATCGTCCGACATCAACGATGATTGGGAGTTGTTCTTGCACGGCATGGAGGAGCACACCCTTCACTCGAAGACGGGGCCCGCCGCCGCTGCAGCCTAGCCGGCAACGATGGATGAGAGATCATCAACGGGGGGAACCGGCGGCTGTAGCCCCCCCCCCCCCCGAGTCACACAGTGTGAGTGACGCGGGGGTCTGTCTCCGCAGTTGTACTACCAACAATCTGACAAAACATAATATAGAAAAAATTGACATATCGGCAACAGTAGAGTCATACAGGACCGACACTATGCCTATGCTGAAGGAGGTGTGGACATATTCGGAGATTATGCTATCATCCATGTTGGGTAAAAACCTCCCTGACCACCCGCTCCAACCGCATACACAAGTATAAGCTTGTCCTAAAAAAATATACTCCCTTCGTCCCAAAATGAGTGTCGTGACTTTAGTTTAAATGGAGGGAGTATTATATTTAGTGATCAAAACATATCAATTGACAATTTTATCTAGGTGCTTTACATGCGACATCCAATTGAAAAGTGCTTGCAAAGGCCGTGCTCCATTGAGCTCTTTACTTTTTCTCAGCGAAAATAATTTTTCACACCTAAAAAAAATCTGAAAAAAAGTACATATGTAGACATATACTTGTAGTATACATGTGCAAAGTTTCATGAACATATATACATGCAAAAGACAAATACACATATTAAAATGGACTTTTTGTTGTATTTGGGCCCGATATTTGTCTTTTTTGTGTAGCATGCAAATAATCAAATTAGTTGATAAAATTTTATACATACTTGAGGAATATGCATATGTATTTGTAGAAAAAATTGGCATTTTTTGAAACTTTTAAATATGTTTTGTTTTTGTGTGCAAAATGAGCTCCATGGAGCTCGGTCTTTGCAACGCCCCACTCGACATCCAATGCACTTGTTAATTAGGCTTACAAATTTGATGTTTTAAGTTTTAAGCCCACTCACCATTGTCACGCTAGATTTGCCAAACGTGACCGAACTGGTACACATTCAGAAAGGCAGCAGCCAGCAGGTATCTTTTGGCTACCGCCAGCAGAATATCCAAACACTATTCTTCATAGCATCAGCATAAGCACCCCGGATATGCTCCTTCGGATTTCCCGGAATACCCATATACATGAAGAGGAAAATGGTACTTCGATGAACGATCTGCTTAATTCCTCCCGCCACCGCACGCCCAGAATGGGAGCCAAGGGGGTGGCATCGTCAGCGGCGGGGACGGCGGCGCTGGTCTATGTCGTGCTCTCCGGACGACTGTCCCCCGACGGCGCGGAGGAGGCGCCAAGGAGGCGGAACGGGCGGAGGGACGTTGGCGGGGAAAGCGAGGCGAGGTGGCCGGAGAGCGCGCCGGCGAGCTGGAGGGAAGCCGCGGCCGTGGCGGCGAGGACGGTGAGGTTGGCGTACGGCGAGACGCTGGGGAAGTGGCCGTTCGGGGACATCGCCTTCGGGATCAGCCACTACATGCGTCTCCAGGTGAGTGATCACCACGCCTCGGCCCGAAATCAAATGTTTCCATCTGTGGGAAGCCTGGAATAGTCGCAGTGCAAGCCGTTTCTGCTTGTTCATCACGAAGAGAGGAAAAGACATGCGTCGCTTGATTTTGCTTAGATCATGCTTTTGTTTGTTATGAATACACTAGTAGAAAACCACCCATTAGTCCCGATTCGTAAGGGCCTTTAGTCCCAGTTTATGAACCGGGACTAATGGGTCATTACTAATGCCACCACCCATTAGTCCCGGTTCAAACACGAACCGGGACCAATGCGGCTCCACGTGGCCCTGTGTACCGAGCCCAGTCAGAGGGCCTTTGGTCCCGGTTGGTGGCTCCAACCGGGACTAAAAGTCAATTTTTTTTACAAAAGTGGCTGCTTTAGGGGTTTGGGGGGTTATTTTTAGGTTGTTATTATAGCTAGCTAATAGAGTAAGTGTCCTCTCTTATCTTCGTCCTTGGTTTATCAACGCTGCTGCTATGTTCATTGCACCCGCAGATATAACATGCTCATGCATGCTTTGCATCATACATCATCATATATGTATATAATAACAAGTCCTACTAATCATGCATCATCATACAACTTCTACTCGTTATTAATAATAAGTCATACGATCATCATTCTCATAGTCATCGAACCCAACCCTACATAATTGTTCTTACCACATGATCATCAGTATCAGGTAGGACCTACACCTTTAAGGTAAAATAGCATAAAACAATATAGACCCTGACTCTTCATTATGAAGAATGGCGATCATCCTGTCTCCAATTCTTCCCCTTCACTGCTTATTGCTTCCAAGAAGCTCCTTACGACTGTCCATGCATTTTTTCCCATTCTTTGATTGTTATGTCTCCATTTTTTTTAGAAACCCGGTATGGACAGTTGAGATTCGTAAGACGACCTGGTTGTATGTTCAAAACATGAAGGCTACCATGTGTATACATCAGATGAGGCACACAATCATTCGGGATTATCTGTTAAAAAATATAGTAATAACTTCATAGTTAGCAATGATGTACTAGTTTTAAAAGTGTGCAAAAAGATGCACGGATGTTGTAATAGTAAAAAATAATCTTACCAGGGTATCTCCATGGTAGTTACCGTAGTTCAACACGTGTACTAGTGGCACGTATTGACCATAATGTTGAGGAGTTTGATTGTAGATATTGTAATTCTCAAGATCAGTACAAAATCCGACCAGATGATTTTTCTCCTGATAAGTTAATTCGGAGCCTTCGGTGTAGTACGTTCTGTCTACCATCTTCCGCACATTCTTTGAAGAATGAAAATAAGCTGTCAATGGAGATAAGTTGTCAACTATATATTTTGAAATAAACAATATAAATTATTTAATAACTATGTTTAGCTCACATGAGGGAAGAACTGGAGGTGTATCCACAAAGACCCAAATCGAAGGTGTCTCTTGCTCGATTGTAGGATCAACAAGATCCATGGTGACAAGCATACCCTCATCAAGACCATACATCTTGCAAAATGCATTCCAATTTTTGCAACCAAAATGGGTTACACTCTGAGCATTGTACAACTTTACTTGAAAATCCACACCATGATGGGTACTTAGGATACTTTTTTTGGTTTTGAAATTTTCATGGTCTTCAAAACCCATCCTCTGCAAGACATAGCGTCTTGCAAAGCATGGGATAAGCTAGTCGAATTGGAAAAGATGAAAAATACACGTTAAAATAGTTGAAGTCGTGCTTAATTACGAAAAAAACTATTGTCGTCGTTGCGTACCGTATGAACATCGCAAGTCTCCTCGAGCTTAATGCTGAAGCGCCGATCTTCGTCCAGCTCAATGAACCTGTCGCACATACCTCGGTCGTGGTGGCACCAGTCGCACTCCCCCGGGCGGTTTCGTCATCCGATGAGTACGACATTTCCGGCCTACGTTCATAATTCAAATATTAAACTAGATCATTATTATTAATCACGGGTTGACTATCGATGATCAATGTACGTACGTAGCTCCTCTTTCATTCTCGAATGCATTATTATACCAAATTGTCTAGCACACGGGAATGAAGGATAACTTATCCAATATGAGCACTCAATAAGCAAAACCAAATCATAAAATAAGCAAAACCAAATCATAAAATAAAGTACAGTATTCAAATTAGCATGCATTCAATAATTATAAGAAAAAGTACATCATCTCTTGGTGTCCGTACATCATCGAATATTATCACTAATACAACTAGAACCGTAGCGCCCGACGGGTATCGACGCGGGCGATGGACACCCAAAGATAAGGAACCATCACAGGATCATAGCTCCAGTGAGATCCCTTAAGAACCTGCCAGGTATTGTCGAACCTCCCCTCCAATGCAACCATGTAGCGACGGACATGCTCGTCCTCCTCGCTGACACGGTGACGTACCACCTCCGCGGTGTCCGGATGCCTCACCACCGTCACTGGCCCACGCGACCGCCACCAAACAAGGATCGGGTCAACAACGGGCTGCCTCCTCACCAACCTACGTCCCCCGGAAGGTAGCACCTCCGAATACCAACCCGGCGGAGCCCAGTCCCGAACATGGCCCTGATCAAGCAGGCCTCCACCGCTGAGTCGACGACGACGAGGATGCGGGATAGGCATCGCCGACGTCGACGCGGGAACTACTTCTATATATAGTTAAATCTAACATAGTATGAAGAAACTAATTACTACACATATCTAATCTAACAAAAAAATTCTAATTAATCTAACAAAAATATCTAACATAATATGAACAAATTAATTACTACACATGTAATCTAACAAAAAAATCTAATCTAACAAAAAAATCTAATTAAATCAACTATCTAGTTCAACTACTAAGCACTTACTATAAATAAATAAGTAGTACTTACTAAAAACAAACTACTTCATTATATATAAACTACTTCTTATTTTTTTCCTTTTTCTAAATACTATGAACAAAAAAATCATTAAAATTCTATGAACAAAATTAATTACACAAACTAAATATCACCAAAAAATCTATTAACAATAATATAACCAAACATGCATATTCAATAATAATATCACCAAAAAAATCTATTAACAGAAAAAAAAATCTAACATAATATGAACAAATTAATTACTACACATGTAATCTAACAAATAAAATCTAATCTAACAAATAAAATCTATTAACAGAAAAAAATCTAACATAATATGAACAAATTAATTACTACACATGTAATCTAACAAAAAAATCTAATCTAACAAAAAAAATCTATTAACAGAAAAAAAAGTCTAACATAATATGAACAAATTAATTACTACACATGTAATCTAACAAAAAAATCTAATTAATCTAACAAAAAAATCTAATCTAACAAAAAAAATCTATGAACTATATATCTAAATAACTACACATCTAACCTAACAAAAAAATCTATGAACTACAAAAAGAATCTAAAAAATCTAACAAAAATAAAAAAACGCTCACGTCGGCGTCGAGGCGGCGCGGTGCAGGGGCGACGACGGGGACGGCGGCGACGAGGACAGCGGGCTCGGGGGCGGCGACGGGGACGGCGGACTCGGGGCAAGGGCGACGACGCCGGGGCGCGGC